ATCAATGTATACATTTACTACTCAGCCGCTTCATTTATCATACACTTTTTTTGTAACTTTTTATCTATAGTACAATGGTATCGATTCCAGTAGTAAAACAATTGAAGTTTGAGTTGGATAGATCAATCATGTTAATAATGATATAGTTCTTAATCTCGAAGGTTGAAGTTTTTTTATTTCGTATTGGCAATGTGATTTATCTATCATAATCAACTGTGTAAGTGGTGTTTTCGTGATGTCATGAATCATGATTACAAAATACATACATAAGTCTTATTCAATATTTATTTTGATGTTCATATTGAATTAGAGATTTCAATATAAATTTATTACGCGGTTCTATTGTTGCAACAGTCTTTACCTATATGAAACAAAACACAGGTTCAGCCCATAAGCCTGAAAATATAACTGTGTAAACTACGCAGGGTGGAAATCTTGTAGTAGTAGAGCTCCTTGTGAAAGAATTCGTCCAGGGAAGTACTGCCACCTTAACAATTTCTGCCACCAAGCAGTATAGCATTATAGCGTTCCCAATGATTAAGATCATTGGTCGTTCCGGTTTGAATGGTAAGGATGCCTGTTGAAATTACAGGGGACTTGTCAACTTCTGCCTAAGGGTGACTGGTGCAGTGACAATGCTCAACAGATCTTTGCGATTTAAAGCTCTGAGTGCCAATGCAACTGCTATGGATAGGCGTGTGTCGCTTACCACCAGGCGCACGACTTGTTCGTCCGAGCACTTTGTGTCACATAAAAAAAAATTGGGAGCAGACATTGAAAGCAACAAGCAAAACCATAATAGGAAGTGACGATACTTGATTGATTTTACCTACAAAACCTTACTTACCTAACCTTAGTGGAATAGGGTCGGATGGCGTCATAAAAAAGAGAAAAGAAACATACCTAGTTCTTTTTTGACATTTTTCTCTAAATTTGTGAATGTAAATGGTAAATCCAAGAGTTAGGGATCTTTAGGTCTCTTCAATTTATCTATAGTCACACGGTTCAGCTAGCCATTAGGATCTCTATGTGAAGCCTGAAAATCAGCAATGCTGAGTCTTCGTTCTTTTTGTCCACATTACTATTCTTCTGTTTTAATTGTTCGCTTATATTTGATTATGTGTTTTGTGGGTAAATAAACGTTTTATTTTATTTTATTTTTTTATATTATATCAATGTTGGACATTACTATAGATTTACCATAACTACCCCCTTTGACAAATGGGCGAATGATAGCACTCAAGAATCGTATTTCAGGAAGTAATACCAGTATTTTTTAAATATTTTGTATAAGCGCAATGGCGATATCGTAATAACAAAATACTGTTTATTGGATGCTAAAATATAACTCTGCCTGGCTACGTTTTGTTATTTGTATTAGTCCACAGTTAGAAGTTCATATACATTTTGGGACTACGAACTTGATCCATATTTAGAGCAAGAATTTCAAGGAGGTTGAACTCTATTAAAATGTTGCCATAAGGTATCTTTACAACTGAAACTACATATAGCACCCTTGGTGTAATTAGGCCGCATCTTTTGACGACCTTGGTGACCCAACGGTTTGAATGAGCGCTCTGGATGCGGAGGTCACGGGTTCGATTCCCGGTAAGTAATATTTTACGATTGTTCTGGTCTGGGTGTTCGGGTAGTGCCTTCTCTTTGCGGGAATTCTCTATGCGGGAATAACAGTATCTCGCGCTGTATGTCGCTCTCCCTACTGGATTTATAAATTTGATGTTTCTACTAGTAACCAATTATCACACTGCATGTTAACGTAATTCGTCACAACACTATCCTATATCAATAAATCACGCTCCACAATTTGTCATCGGTCATAATGACTTATTGATGTGTGGCGGCCAACGGGTCGTTCGCCTCAACGCGGACAGGTGGTTTGTAAAAAATGACATGTTGGGCATTGTTTAGGATGACAGCTAGCGATGAGTCGAACAGTTGGTAATTTTTTGCTAGAAATTTATTTTGTTTATAACTTATGAAAACATTACAACCGCATGGGTCTCGACTTCGAAAAGCGATAAGCAACAGCGTCTCACTGTAAATGCTGTTGCAGATTAATAATATTAATAATAATAACTTACTAATTTTTATTTAAAGCTTTTTTACGTTACTAAGTGACTGGACGAACAAGTCGTGCGCCTGATGGTTAACATTGCGCCTGCCCATAATAGTTTTAAATCCCAAACATCCGAGGGCCACTGCCACTGCGTCCTTAACCCTGAGACATATGTTGACAAATCTTATGTGCCTGTAATTTCATCAACTACCTTACCTTTTGAAACCGGAACACATTGCCGCTTGGCAGAGATAGGTAAGGTGGCAGTACTTCCCTGGACTAGCTCGTTCACACGGAGCTCTATTGCTACTAAACTACATAAATAGTTATATACAAATATAGTGTAGTCGACATTATACGATTTCTTCGAAAGTCGACAGTATATCTTTCAATTTTTCTACCCAATATTCGAGTAGGTATATGTATGTCGTCATCACAAAGGACATCACGCGTGCGAGTGACAGGATATTCAATAGGCTATCTTAGTCTTTCGGCGCCATTTTCTACCGTCTGTTAACGACCTTTGGGCACTGTTGTGTGTTCCATACTTTATTCTGGTGCCTTTGATGTTGTTTAATGCCTGTTTGGTGTTCGACGTCACTGGATCATTCTCTAAATAATAATTATAACTTTTTTTAAAAAAGGAAATCGACTTCAAAAGTTCGTGGAATTCCATATATTTGCCAAGTTTTATTGAAATCGGTTACCGGAAAGTGTGCTACACCGGATTCATCTCCTAGTTTGCCACCCTTAGAGGTGGAATATTTTAGTCAAATTTAAATAGAACCAATGCTGAGGTACCTTCTTTTCTACAAAAAAAAAAAGAATTATAGAAATCTGTTCACAAAAGCCGGGGTAATCGCGTAACATACACAAAAATACAATCGAATTGAGAACCTCCTCCTTTTTAAAACTAGGTTAAAAAGCTGTTAAAGATCGTATATATGCCATTTTGTATTTTTTTAAATATTATACTAGCCGGTCAACCTGATGGTTAACGTGGTTAACGTGGACTTTATTTGCGAATACAGGGAAGTTTTCTCAATACAGCAAGCAGCAGTAGAGCTCCATAGTAGCAGTAGACCTCCTAGTGAAAGAGTTCGTCCAGGCAAGTACTGCCACCTTTCCTAAATCTGCCGCCAAGAGGTAATGCCAGCATTACTGCATTTCGATTTGGAAGGATAAACGTGCAGGTGAAATTAAAGACACATGGGAGTTTTCCACTTACGTTTCAGGGTGACTCAGATCTTTGCGATTTAAAGTTCTAAGTGACAATGCAATTGGTATGGACAGGCTTGTCGCGTACCACCAGGCGCACAACTCGTTCGTCTCGTTCTTGGTATCACAAAAAGTCTCTGCAACTATTGCGAACAGGCGTATAGCTTTAAAGCAGCTTTATCTATTTAAAGCTCTGAGTGGCACTGCAACTATTATGGGCAGGCGTGTCGCTTACCATCAGTCATACGTTCCGTACCGCCACTTGGTATCATAAAAAAATGTCTTATCTACTCTGGCACACAAGTCTTCAAGTCTTCTGTGCTTGTGTTTTAGCTTATTTTCCCTATTCTTCAATCCGGAACACAATAATGGTGCGTTGCGGTAAAAATAAGTAAAGCGGAACCTACCAAGTTGGTTGTGCACGGTCAAAAACTCAACCACAAATAAAATGTGACCAAGACTTCGTCACCGCTTGGTGGTGTTTGGAATTTCTCCCTTTTAGTTAATCGACATATAATTCTATAGGGAAAAAAAAACTTTACTTAATACTATAGTCAAGAAATATCGCACGTAAGTCACGTTTGACGTTTTCTCCGTCGCCTGGGACACGGTAAAAATGGAAAAACTTTCCGCTCCGCTTAAATAACTACTCCCCCGGGATATTTAGTATGTGACCATCCTTACAAGCGTCTTCTAGAAAGGAAAAATGTATAATGTACCGAATTACTTCTTGCCTACTTACATCTGTTTTTTGATACAACTTGCAAATATAAACCCCTTCTATAGTGCTGAACGATGGGACAGATAAGACTTGATCTTGTTAATTAAATATCTATTTAAAAAAAATATAATGCTCGAGTAAATTCATACTTGCAGAACTTAATATTATGCTATTATTTGAGTACAGTAATCTCTATTTTAAGATAACTTCAAATCGTATATTACAGGGCAACCTAAAAAAATACAAATAGCCGTTATTAAGCTAAAAGATAGTTTGGTCAATCCGTCGATTCCCAAGTAATACTGGAAATAAATAGCACCTAGGAAGTGTGTACACACAGCTATGTAACATTTTGGCACTCCTCCATGGAGTTCAATAGAACCATGCAGTCCCAACGGAAGCACCGACGTATGCGATGAATAACCAACACATTACATAAAGCATTGTACACCAAAAGAAAATGTTAATCCAATGCTTCTGTAATTATATTACGGTTTAGCCTTGGTTTTCCTTCAGTTAATTACTAGCAAGGAACTGGAACAGCCGATTTCACTTCTTCATTTAATGTTGGCAGTTAGTAATTTAGCAATTTTCATGAATAAAGTTACTTTAGCTGTAATAAATACTAGCTGTGGAATTAGAAATTAAAATTTCTGTGTTGTTATAAGTGTTAAAATTATGTGTAAAATAAAAGAAAATAAACAGTTAGTGACTACATTTAAAGTGGTATTTCAATAATTTTTTCTGTGGAAAAGTGTATGAGTGTTCATGGTAACTGTTTTCTCTCTAAGTGACCATGGCGCCATCAAGCGACGGCCGCGTGTACTATTGCAATTTATGGCAAGCTCACCGACGAGTGTTGATTCGGATTTTTCTAGCTTCAACTACTCGATAGTAGATGTCGCTGTAAGCACTTTACTTTTACGTGGACTATACAAAATGCTTTTTTTAACTTTATTTACAATATGCATCTATTTTTTACAGGCTGAACCTGGAGATACTATAGCAACTACCAAAGAAGGTTAGTATTAATTATTATCTATGGGTATTTAATAAGTATATGCAATTTTTTATTGTTTAACTCTATTTTACCTTTTTCTTCTTTACCGAACTTTGAGGTTTATATACTTGTCCATTCACTTATAAAGGGCAATGTTTACACAGTCACATTACCTGTTAGGTTTTTCCTTTACGTTTTTAATTTTAATATCATCTAAATGATGTAGTACGTTATTTTAATATGAAATGTTAATTATGTATTTTTTATCTTCTACAGAGGAATGGGTGACGAAGAAAAAGAGCGAAGTGACGACCACTCGTCAGATCGCCACAAGAGTCAAACGCGAGTTGGTGTTGGAAGATGGGAAGATACTCAGCGACTCCGGGCCTAAGATTTCCACGTCAGTGAATGAGGATACGCATACTTCTAATTATCAGCAGACTGAGGTGAGATATTATAACCTTGGAAAAAAATAGACAGGTTGATAGTGATTTTATTTAAAAGACACAAGGTAATGATTTTATCCTTTTATCGATGGGCATAGAATGTACGTTCCGGGCAGCTATTTCGAAATTATTATAATAAAATTTCAGTAGAGAAGTTTTCAACCATTATGATAATACGATTTTTCTTTATCTTTTTCAAAAGCATCGGGTACCTGATGATCAAAAAGAAAAAGTTGAAAATGACGCGGCTCTTGAAAGCGGACACGTTATAGGTGCTATTGGAGCACCTTATGATGGTAAGTCAAATTACTTTTACACACCCTCGTAGAAAGATTAAGTAGTCAACATACTAGGCGTTTTAGCGTCTCGTCTTATAATTTGTAAAAAAGTTCTAAAAAGCTCAACAATTTTATTGTACACAGAAATCGATAGTCTCCAAACTTTCGGTGGCGAAGTGGCTCCGGCGAATGCGAAAGTACTCGTCTCATCCCGCGTGGTGGCCAACCCGGATGGCAAAGTGCGCGAGAGTCGCGACCGGAAGGTGCTCACGCGCAACGTCACTGACCGCGTGCTGGAAACCGAGGAGCGCTTCCACCGTGGCGATACTACGCATGATGTGAGTATTAGAAAATAAGATACTTTTATTGCATTGTACATTGATTTCATTAATTTAAAATACAGTCATAAATTGGGGCTATTCAAGAATTGAGTGAGTACGCATTTTTTTGAGAAATGACTGATATCGTCGCTTAACATCAGGTTCCTTGTGAAAGTAAATGAATAAAAACCTTGATCTTAATAACTGTAATCGTATGACATCGTATCATTTACTTTATTACAGTCAAGTAAAGATATTAAGTCAGAAGTCGTAGTAGCTGCATTTATTATTAATTTGGCTTGCTCACATTTTTATATGAAATATTTGATTTATGACACTATTATATTTTTTTTGCTACAATAATGCCGCATAATAATGCATATTATGAATTAAACATACATAACACAATGTATGGATACTTGCGATTAATTAGAACTGTAAAAACCATACTAATCGAAATTAAATTACAGTGTGCATCGAAAACTGTTCAAAACCAAAAGAATATATAACATAAAAAAGCTATAATTATAAGAAAATCTCCATTAGCTAAGATCATGTAATTAATCAGTGAGCATATATAATATCATCGTGATTAAAATTTGTGTTAAATAAAACTACTTCTCCAAAAAATTTCAACACTAACCTTTAAATATCCATTTAGAAGTACTTAATCAAACTACAATTTTGATATTAGTTAATCTTTTACTTCCTTCTCGTTTTCTATAAATAAAATTATATGCATTTACTGTATCGAATGTAAGCTACAAAGCTTTATGCATTTGTTTACGGTCTCGGTATTTTTTTATTCATTATACGTTCTAAATTTAAGTAAATCTGTTTTTTCGTGCCTTTGTGCACTGACGCTTGGGGTTGCCTCATATAAATTATACAATAACCATGGTGATTTGACAAGCGATCCTAAGGTGCAGGATTATTTTTATTTATATTTTAAGTAATCGTATTTTCATCTTCTTTGTTTTGTGTGTCACTGCTGAAGGTCGTATCCCGAAAATTTATTTGTACGAGCTCTTAGTACTTTGTCCGATCTTTTGGTAGCAGTAGAGCTCCTTGTCAAAAAGTTCGTCCTGGGAAGTACTGCCACCTTACTTATTTCTGTCGCCATGTTAGCATTACTGCATTTCGGTTTTGAAGGATAAGGATGCTGGTGAAATCATAGCCACATGGAACTTGTCAACTTACGTCTCAGAATGACAGGCGCAGAGGCAGTGCCCCTCTGATCTTTGTGATTTAAAGTTCTGAGTGCCACTGCAACTGTTATAACAGGCGTATCGCTTATCACCAGGCGCATGTTTGGTTCATCTCGTTACATGGCGTCATAAAAAGGTAAGATTGTGGCCAAGAGTGTGTCTGTTTTATATTAAAAAAATTAACAAGCAAAAGACTCGCGTTTCTTATTGAAAGTTACAAAGTAGTCCAGCTTATTTTATTGGATCATATCCCGTATACTCTTTCAGTTACTTTTTGTTGACATATTTATTTCGATCGTAATTGCGAATGACACCGGAAATATATATTTTTTATGATGTCAAGAGACGGGACGAACAAGTGCTGTATATGGTGGTAAGCGAAACGCGTGCCATTCAAAGCTTTAAATCGCAAAGATCTGAGGGGTACTGGCACTGCACCCGTCTTTGATACATAAGTTGTCAATTCCCATGTGCCTGTAATTTCACCAGCACCTTTATTTACCCTTCAAAACTGAAACGCAGTAATGCTCACAGTACTGCTTGACGACAGAAATAGTTAAGGTGTCAGTACTTCCTAAGACGTATTCTTTCACATGAAACTCTTAACAAATATGTTTCACAGTGTTATGGACTTCGATCGTAAATAATGTAAATGCCACACAAAAATGTTTTGTCTAAAAAGTCAGACGCAACTTTTACAAAAAAGCCGTGGTTCATTTGCATTTTACACATATTACTTCTTAACTTTACCTTGGCATATAAATCAGTATATGCGTGTATACATACGTGCTTGTACCATGAATTATGAATTTATAAATTAATTTACAAAAATGATAACTTACGTTTTATAAAGTTAAGTTATAAATAAAAAAATTCAGACGGTATTCAAGTAATGAATCACATTACATATATATAGGAAATGAAACGATTTTTCCGGATTTCAATCGCGTACATTTGTTTTTTCGAACAAACCAAACGTTACGGGCCCTTTACAGGTCTCATGTGTAACAATCGCGAAAATCTAAGAACTCGACATTACTTACATTTTTCTTAAATATTATTCATAATGCTTGCTTCAATAATCCCCGTTACATTAGCGATTTACGAATGCTTTTACCCTGATGACGCAGTTATCGCACTCTATAAGATGTTAGGGACGTGGGTGCAATGTCAGGGTTCGATTCCTGCCAGTCGATACCGCATGATAGACGCTAATGGACTCCATGGGAACATGAAGTAATTTCTAGATTGTAGCACTATTCCTGGAGTAAGATAAAAATTGTATTTTTAGCACGAGGTGAAGTTTTTGAAAAAAGTTTTTTGAGACGAAAGTGCCACGTCTTTATGACGATAAAGTATTTGAAAATGTGATGTGGCGAATTATAGAGCGCCTCTAACGGTTATAGGAAGAACTATACTTCGTTTTTTTAAGTATTACCCAAACATAAGGAAATTTTGGGTCTTTTGTCAGGTGCCATTTCTTTCAGGAACGGAAACTTTTCATTAAATAATAACTTATATCGAGTCATTTGTAAAAAAGGGTGCTGGTGAAACTACAGGCACATGGGACTTGTCTACTTATGTCTCAGGGTAACGGGCGCAGTGGCAGTGCCCCTAAATTCTTTGCGATTTAAGGCTCTGAGTGGCCCTGTAACATTGCAACTGTCATGGATAGGCGTGGTGCTTACCACCAGGCGCACGACTTGTTCGTCCCGTCACTTGGTATTATAATAATCTCAGTACAGAGTACTAAAAAAACCGACCTCAAAAGTACGTAGAATTATATATAATTATCAAGTTTTATTGAAATCGGTTACCGGAAAGTGCGCAAACCCGGATTCATGCCCTACTTCGCCACTATACGGGACTTGACACAGGAGATAATAAAAATCGGTTCTCGGAAAAGCGCCTTGAATTGAAGAATAGCAAAAACAACCATTAAAAAAATTGCTCCTTGTAATAAAATTTAGGCACTGTTATAATAATCTCAGTACAGAGTACTAAAAAAACCGACCTCAAGTACGTGGAATTACGTCTATTTGCGAAGTTGTAATGAAATATTCCCTAGTTCGCCACTATACAGGACTTGACACTGGAGATAATAAAAATCGGTTCTCACTACTCAAAGTATATTGAGAGAAAAATGCCTTGAATTGGAGAAATAGCAAAATCAGCCATTAAAATAATTGCTCCTTAATTTAATTTAGGCGCTATTTATAAAAGTGAACCTTCATGCGTGAACAGCCACCTTAGAGGTGGATGATTTTCTTCAAAATGAAATGGGACAGCTATGGAGGTATCCTCTTTCCAACAAAAAAAGAATCATGAAAATCGTTTCACAAATAGGTACCGGAGTTATCGCGTAACATACATACAAAAAAAAACACAGTTGAATTGAGAACCTCCTCCTTTTTTGAAGTCGGTTAAAAATAATCATTTATCAATAGTTCTCACGACTTTATTTATTTATTACTGTAATTTCTTCTCTGAAGAAAAAGGTTTGCTATCACTGCTACTTTGTTTACAGTTTTTCTAATTGTAAAAAAAACGAAGTAATAGCTACCTATTGACATTATAACTCATGATAGTTCTCATTATAACTCATGATAGTTACAAAAGTTCAGGTACTTACATAAATTTGTAGTGAAATTATTCGCTTGAACTCCCGTAATTTATAGACACTAGACGTTGATTAAAACTGTATTAACTAGTTACATTGTAAATTGAAGTAGGTTTGGAAACCGTTTGACAATTCCTTAACATTGTAAATGTATGTTTATAACTACTATAATACTTAATGTAGATATAGTGGGGTACACTCCGCACATCTGGTGCAGCAAGCGAACAGCTACAGGTGAAGACTGAAAATCAGCAATGCTGAGTCTTTGACTTTTTTGTAAACTTTGCTCAATTGTATTTTCTATTACTATTTTGTTGTGATTTCTATATTTTGTGGAGAAATAAGTGTCTTTTTAATTTCTCTTGCTCTAAAAGTACGACGATATAGTCTTACCTAGCGGGAGTAAAGAGCATCCTTTAATATCTAGGGAGTAAAAAGTAGCTAATTTTTTAAGTTACTTCGAGCCGATAAACTCAAACAGCCAGTAGTACGCTCGGTTTTAGTTCCGTGCTTTTTCCGCATAGACGGTGGCGCCATTTTATTTTCCCACGTAAGTGCGTTTGTTGTATCTGTGTCTGGTTGGAAAAAAAAAATACCGCGAAAACTTTTCAGAATTTTGGTTCGTAATTTTGTTGTAGAGCGAAAACAATTTAATTTTTTTTTCTCTCAATCGAAGTGAAAACTAAAGTTTTGACCTTGGGTCTAAATGCTAATATAAACCCTTGGAATAATGGACACCGAACCATCTCGGGTATTATATTGGCTCGTTTTAGTCACTCGATAAAAATATGCTATTTTTACTATTTTATTTTTGTAAAGGAATAGGGCTGGGGCAAATCTAGGTGGAATGTTCTAGGGTAAGCTCTGCTAGTAGATTAGATCACTAAGCTACAAAGGGTAGTGCCAGAAATGTAGTTTCTAAAGAGGTTGTTAAACTAAGATCTGCCTCCAACTAGTCAGTATGGTTTAGCGCGTCTATAGTAAACGATGATTAAGATAGAGTCACATTGGCAGCACTTTTGGTGAGTAGTAGGTAAGACAGTCCACACGTAACGGCAGTATGGCAAATAGTTTAGATATGTGTGTATAAATCTTTTTGACTACAAACATCTACACGGACGAAGTCCCGGGTAAAGCCTGCTATATCTATTTTTTTAACCGATTTATAAAAAGGAGGAGGTTATACATTC